CTAACTAACGAACTAACTAACTAACTAACTAACTAACTAACTAACTAACTAACTAACTAACTACTAACTAACTAACTAACTAACTAACTAACTAACTAACTAACTACTAACTAACTAACTAAACTAACTAACTAACTAACTAACTAACTAACTAACTAACTAACTACTAACTAACTAACTAACTAACTACTAACTAACTAACTAACTAACTAACTAACTAACTAACTCACTACAGTTTTCTTATAAACAAATTTCTGAAATAAAAAACGCCAAAATTCCTTCAAAATGATAAATCTGTCTTATCTGGCAGCTATGAAAACAACTACGCCGACCAACATTAACCATCTTTGACGGCTGTGGTTAATAAACATTGGGGCGGCTCGGCTTCGAAACTAAAGTAGGCTGGTTAAATTTACAAGAATCGTTTTCAAAATGTAATTTTTGTCAGATTTTTCTTATTATTATGATAATATATTTAAAAGTAAATAATGCAATAAATAGATAAATTAAATCGAAAAATATATTTAAAAAAATTTAAGTGATTAAACCCGTATAAAATATATATTGACAATTAAGTTTAAAAATATTAATTTTTATACATATATTTTTTATTTTTAGGTTTTCTAACAAAAATTTGCAGTTAAAAATGTAAGTACATATGTATAATATTTAAAAAAAAAATATTTTCTAGTTGTTTTTTTTTTTCTTATGAATAAGGAGATTTTATTATGGAAAAATTTCTGCTCTAGGTACTATTTTTCTAGAAAATTCGCCGATTTTCTTTACTTTCGATATGTCTTTAAAAATATTGATCACATTTTTGAGTTTGTTAGGGCAATCTACTTTTTTCTGGAAAATGTTGTATATTCGATTGTTCGAAAATCGACTTTTTAGCCCCAAGTTTTTAATATCACAAAAAAATTAGTTATTATGCGGCTGCAGAGCAATACAAAGTAATGTTATGTTACTAACATAACATTTTAATGCAATAACATTAAGTTTTAACAGTTTTAGAAGCTCTGCTTGCTTAACTTCCGCCTCTTGAGCGGAAGTTACATTTAGCTTCCGCTTTATTAGCGGAAGTTATAGTTAACAGTAAGTAATTCTAAACTGTTTTCATTACAGTTTTAGAGCCATTCATTTAAATAAATGTAAACATTAACAGTTTTAGAAGGCTTTAAGGAAAAAATGTAAACATTAACAGTTTGAAAAGCATTACATTATAAAACTGTAAATATTGACAGTTTGAGAGCATTTGCTTTAGTTTGCAAAGTTTTTTCATTACAAATGGCGGTATGTGCTAAGAAAAATAATTGTATTTGAAGAAAAAGTGGAAAAATTAAGTTATAAATTAAAAAATTAAGTGATTAAGGAAAAAATTTTATAAACTAATAACAAAGTTATAAAAAAATATATTTAGTTTGTTATTTTTAAAAAGATTTATGGGTTTTTGCAGCAAAGCTTTCAGAGCAAGTGTTGACACTTTACAAATAAGTTAAAAAAAAGTTGAAATAAAAGTTTAATTATTAAAAAAATTAGTGATAAATGAAAAAATATTTATGAGCAACAAGTTTTTGGAGTATTTTAAAAAAAATAATTGTAAAATTTTAAGGAAACTAATAAGCAAAGTAAAGTATTAGCCAGGCCTTCTAAATTTTTTACAAAAAATTTAATAAATGATTAAATAATAAACAATTTTGTAATAATAAAGTTAATCATGTAATAATTAATATCTTGAAAGTATTTCGTAAATAAATAACTTTTAAATACATTAAATCCGGACGCAATGTATGAACAAAGAAATGATTTGCTCTCCGGCCAAAGAATCTTGGAATTGTGTAATTAGAATATAAAGTTTTGGTGGAAATTATTAACAATTTGGTGATAATTCTATAAAAACAAGTTGTGTAAGTAATTTATTTTTAAAAAGTACTAATACAATGGCACGTTTTAGCCCGGGCTAATAGGTATATCGCATAAATCTTTAAATAAAAGTTAAAAAGTAAAAAAATAACTACAACCTATGGCAACAAATAAAGTTAATTGTGTAAATATGTAACAATAAAGTTATCTCAACTTTTTCAAACACGTTAAAAATGAATGAATATCTATTGAATTGAATAAAGGAAGCAAAAGATTTGACCCGACCGGAGCATTTTGGAAAGTGCAAACTTTTTGCTAAAGAAAAGTGTTTTGCCACGACTGCTTTTCATTAAGCCAAATGCTTTAAATTTTCTTTAAATAACTTTTATTTACAAAAATCTCCATAAATTATCATTTCTACGCATTATGAGGCTTAGCATAAGCGGGAAAATTGAGTTTTAAACCATCTTTAGCCTCAAAGAAAGTATACGACAACGTAATAGTGTCCACATTTTCCAGTTTAGGATCTTTAACATACTCGGGATCAATATAAAAGAAAACCGGCATGTCCACCTAATAGACAACAACAAAACAAACATTAAACAAGGTAAGTCTTTTTTAATAAATTTCTTGAACAAACCTCTTCATGGGGATTTAATTGTTGCTCCTCAAAACAAAAACATTGTATTTTATTAAAATAAGCTCCGGCCTCAAAAGGTATAACATTATAGGTACTAATACCTATTACAGGTAGATCTGTAGGATTTTTAGCGGTATAAAAAGCCAAAGCAGTCTCGCCGGGAGCCACTTTTATTTCATATTGTTGGGGTTTAAAATTCCAACGCATAGAGGCTGCTAAATCAGCATTAAATCTAACTCTAATAATGCGATCCTCCACCTTTAACATACTTTCCACCTTCTCGGCATCATGACCTTGACTAGTAGTGCCACCATAACTATAGGCCTGGGAAGTTATGAAAAATCAAATAAATTTATAGTAAAATTACTTTTATAACAAAAAATTGATCTTACCTGACAAAACATTCTATATAAAGGTACGGCAGCATAACTTAAACCCACTATTAATACTCCTCCGGCGGTTACATAGTACAAAGTAGATCTTAAATTTTCTTTTGTGCCGACTCCGTAAAAGGATTACCTCGCGGTGGTTGTGTTGAGTACAATTTTGGTTGTTTTAAAGTTTTCAAAGACCTTAAACCGGTTGCGGCCAATTGTCTATAGAACTTAAACATTTTCTAACAAATTTATTTAGTAATTTTTTCTTAATATTTATACAAAAAAAACCATGGAGTTTTGTAACTTTCTTTCGTACGAGGAAAAAAACAACAATGTTTATATTTTTTGCCCAACAGCTGATCAGCTGTGCGGTTAAATTGAGGTTAGAACAGCTGAAGCAAAACAGATATGTTATATTTGTATGGCAGCAAGGGCTCTCAAACTGTAAATATTTGTTTTAGAAAAATTTTCAAACTTTAAGTCATAAAGGGTTGCCAAGAAACGCAGGAAAAGTGTAAACAAAAGCTGTAATTGCAGTTGCATACGATTTTTAGGGTGTTTCAGGTGTTTTAATAAAATATTATTGTAATTTCAAAGAAGATAAAATTAAATTATTTAACAAATAAAAGAAATTAATAGAATAAATAAGAGTAATTTTGAAATAATACAAAAAATGAACTAAAAACGTAAAATAATATTTTTTTTAACAAATTGACAAACTTTTGGTAATAACAACACCATTTCCCATGAAGATATAAAATAATATTTTGTAAAAAGTGTCAATTATAAAAAAATTATTGAAATAATACAAAAAGTGACTTCCTTTTATAAAAAAGTGTTTTGCCGTGAACATTTTCTATAGAAAATCGATTTGCCGTGATTTTTTCTTTAAAAATGTATTGACGTGATTCCTTTCTTTAGAAAGATGTGTATTGTCCTTAATTTTCCTTTAAGAACGTGATTGGCGTGACACAATTCTATAAAAATATCTTGCCGCGACTTTTTTCTATGAAAACTGTCTTGTTATGATCCTTTCTTATAGAAAATTATCTTACCGTGAATCTATTTTAAGGAAAATTTTCTTGTCGAAACTTTTTTCTGCTAAAAAGTGTCTTGCCATGATTCTCTTTTAAGGAAAAATATCTTGCCGTGACTATTTTCTATGGATAAGTGTCTTGCCGTGACTATTTTCTATGGAGAGGTTTTTTACATTGATTCTTTTCTATAGAAAAGTGTTTTGACGCTATTTTGCAGAGGATAAGAGTCTTGCCGCGACTCTTATCTATGGAAAGTGTTTATCGTTACTATTTTCTATGAAAAAGTCTCTTCTTTTGACTCTTTTCTTTGAAAAAGTGTCTTCTCGTGGCCGTGACTACTTTATATGAACAAGTTTCTTGCCGTGACTCTTTTCCATGGAAAAGCGTTTAACATAACTATTTTCTATGAAAAATTATCTTTCCGTGACTCTTTTATGAAAAAGTGTCTTCTTGTGACTCTTTTGTATGAAGAAGTGTCTTGCCGTGACCCTTTTCTCTGAAAATGTGTCTCGTCGTGACTCTTTTCTATAAAAAAGAGTCTTCTCGTGACTCTTTTCTATGAAAAAGTATCTCGCCGTGACTATATTCTATGGTAAAGCCTCTTGCCGCGTCACATTTCTAAAAAAAAAAATTGTTTGCCGTGACTATTTTCTATATAAAATGTCACGTTATGGCTATTTGCTATAGAATAGTGCTCTGCCATGTCACTTTGTGTTGCATTGACTCTCTTCTATAAGAAAATGTCAGGAAAAGTATCCTGCTGGGAGTTTTTTCTCGAAAAAACGTATTTATCGTGACCTTTTTCTGTAGAAAATTTCTTTTCTTCACAACTTTCTATAGAGAAATGCTCTGACAATACTATTTTCTATAGGGAAGTGCTCTGTCATCCCTCATTTCTTTGGAAAATGTCATCCCTCTTTTCTAAAGAAAAGTGTTTTGCCTTGGAAGAGTCCATGAAAAACTTTTTCTATGGAAAAGTGGCTTTTCTATAGAAAAGTGTCTAGATGTAACACTTTTCCGATGAAATATCTATAATTTAGACCACTGTAGAAACTTAATTTGATAAAAAATAAAAGAAAAAAATTAAAAATTTAAAAAAAAAATGGATGACAATGGTGATGATTTCGATAGTTTTTTCAATACCAAAAAAACTAAATCTTCAACTCAAACAAAAACCTCTAAAATCTCCTCCGATCCCATGGAAGATCTTTTTGGATTAACAGAAAAAACATCGAACCAGAGAAAACCTACAGCCAGCTCAAAAGCCATACGCGAAGAACCCGAAGACGATGATGATGATTTAGGATTCGATCCTAAAAAACCTAAAGCTTTAACAAAATCACAAAATTTATTTGATGATATATTAGCGCCTTTAGAAACAAAAAGACCACAAACTTCGGCAGGACCAAGTACCAGCAACAAACCCTCAATTTCGAGACAATCTACTGAAACCACTACAGATACCTCAAATATTTTTCAAGCACAAGCAGCAAGACCAAAAACATCTCAGGGACGAAGAACTTCTAATATGTCGGCAACACAAAATCCTGATCCTTTAGGTTTATTCACTAAAGAAAAAGAAACTTCTAAACCTTCTTCGAGAATATCATCGCCGAAGACACAAAAAAGAAGCAACACAGCTGATTGGTTGGGTTTGGCTAAGGATCCGGAAATAGAAACTGTCAAAGTGGAACCTAGAGCAGAGACACCTAAAACCAGCAAGTTACAGAAGGCTTCTTCTAAAGAAACAACTGAAATTTTAAAACTGCCGGAACCCACTGATAACCAGGAGGATTTTCAAACTGAGGTACAGCCAGAGGATCATGAAGAAATTAAACAAATGCCTCCCCAAACCCAAGACCACTTAATGTTAGATTCCACCAGCCAAAATATCATGTTAATGAATACTTTAAATCTGGAAGCTAAACAAAGTTTTTCGGCCTTAAAATATCAAGAGCAGCAGTTAATAATGGCCTCTCAAATGAAGCAACAGGAAAGAGTTTTAATGGATATGCAGCACAAACAGGACTCTCTATTGCAACAACAGGAACGACAATTTCAGGCTCTTTTCCAGCAACAAATGCAAAGACATCAGCAATTAGAGGATTTAATTAAACACCAACAGCAGCGTATTAATTCACACATACAACTTTTGATGAGCCAACCTCCCATGACACAATCTATGGAAGACTTTGAATTATTGGATAATAAACCTGTTCACGCTAGAAAAACTTATAGAGAAGATGAAGAGGAAAATGAAACAGAAACTACTCGCAGAGATTTGGAAAAAGAAAAACAAATGTCCTTTGATTTTATTCAACTTGAGTCGGACAATAAACGTTTGGAATTGGAAAATCTGAGATTGGAAGAGTTAATAGCCAATACAAAAAGCAACTATGAAAGAGAAATTGAGCTGCTGGAGAGATCTTACAAGTAAGTAGAACATTAGATCATTAACAAAATCTTTAGAGGAAACTATTAATAGAAGAGTATAGTTTTCTATAGAAGAGTGTCTAGACAAGAGACTTTTCTATAGAGGAGTGTTTAAAGGATGCACTTTTCTATAGTGAAGTGTACAGGAGAAACTTTTATATAGAAAAGTGTCTAGAGAAGACAATTTTCTATAGAAGGCATTCTAGAGAAGAGACGTTTCTATATAAGACTGTCAAGAAAATATACTTTACTATAGAATAGTATTATGAGCATTCTTCTATAGAAAAGTGTACAGAAAATACACTTTTCTATAAAATAGTCATCAGAAAAGAATACTTTTCTATAAAAGATTGTCTAGAGATGACACTTTTCTATAGAAAAGTGTCAGGTAAAGTCACTTGATTACAGAAGAGTATCAAGAGAAGACATTTTTCTATAAAGAGTGTCTACAGAAAACATTTTACTATAGAATAGTGTCAAGAGAAGACACTTTACTATAGAAGAGTGTCCAGAAAACACATTAATTTATAGAATAGTGTACAGAAATTGCCATTTCCTATAGAAAAGTGTCTAGAAAAGACTGTTGAAGATTGTCCAGGAAATACACTTTTCTATATGAATATAAGCGCTTAGAAAAGACACTTTTCTACTGAAGGGTGTCCAGAAAATATAATTTTGTATAGAATAGTATATAGTAGACGCTTTTCTATAGAAGAGTTTCTGGAGAAGTTACATATCTATTGAAGAGTGTCTGGAGAAGACACGCTTGTTTAGAAGAGAGTCCAGAGTCAACACTCAATGTATTATTCACCTTCTCCTTGTTGTCTTAATTTCCCTAGAAAACAAATTGAAGTCCTGGAGCAGCATCTTTCCAGTGTGGAGAAACGTTTGAAATCCGAATTAGAAGAAGTGCAAACTTATTTTCAAACCAAAATCGATGTGCTCGAACAAGAGAAAATCACACTCAAGAAAAATTACGAAGAAGAACTCTCCAATCTAAAACAAGATCATGAAGATGATCTACGCAAATTGCGTAAAAATCAGGAAGAAGATTTAGAAATGCTTAAAGAAGAACACAGACGCATGTTGGACAACATAAGACAAGCGAAAATGTTGGAATTCGCCGCTGTACAAGAAAATGGCTCTTACCTTGATTGTCTCAAAGTAGCTTCCAGTAATCTCAGTGATTTAACCGGAGGTCTTAATGAGCTCAAAGAAAATATGCAAAACAAAATGGAAATATTACAACTGGAACGTGAGAAAGCTTTAGAACAGCGTGAAAAGAAAATAGAGGATAGTGAGAGAAGACTTAAAATTACAGAAGAATCTAATGATTTAGAGAAACAAAGACTCATGGATTTGGTTAGTACTTTGGAATTGCAAATGTCTAAAATTTCTAAAGATTCTGCCGAAGAAAATTGGCAACTAAGACAAAAACTTGCCAGTATAGATGCCGAGAAAATGGCTTTCAATAAAGAGAAAGAATTTTTCCGCGAACAAATGCTTAGAGATGAGGAGAGAATTAAAGACTTAAAAGAACAGCAATTACTGGAGACCCAAAAACTGCAAGTACAGTTACAAGAGGAAAGAGCTCAACTTCAGGTGGAGAAATCTAAATTTGAATTGGAAAAACGTTTGCAAAGCAATACCGATGTGCAAAAGGAACGTATGGAAGTAGAGGCGGCCATGCAGGTGACTCAAGATGCTGCCCGTAAAGCCGATTTGGAAAGAGAGCGTTTTTATAAAATGCAAAGACAACTGGAGCAACAAAAACGTGATCTCAGTGATAAAGAACATGCTCTTAATGTCAGAGAAGAGGAGTTGCATCAAGAGCTCTTATCCTATCGCATGGCAGAGAGAGTGGCTCAAGAGTCTCAACAAAAAGCCAAAATGGCTGAACAATTCTACCAGAACAAACTGCAGTTGCTACAGCAGAGATCTAATGAAATTGCGGAAAAAGAAACAAATTTATCACAAGAACGTTTACTGCTCGCTCAAGATCGTATTGCTCTGCATGCTTTGAAAACTAAACTCTCACAACAACCTAAATGTTCTCTTTGTCAGTTGTCACAAAAGAATCAAGAGATTACACAATCTTTACAGGGTTCTACGCCTAATTTACCTAACGTTCCTAAGGAATTTACTTTGGCAAATGCTACTCCCCGAGATAATTATGATTTTTTGCATCAGACAAATGTAGTTGAACGTTTGTTGGACGCAAATATTGCAGATTCTTTAAGGAAAATGCAGACCACTTCAAATTTCGGTTTAGAATGGGAAAATCTTTTGGATGATGATCACAAAAAGATGGTACAAAATGATGATTATCAAATTTCGTGCGGAGCTAATGTGCCCAAGACAGAATTGTAACGGGAAACAGTATTATTTAACATTTTGTAATACATTTTTTTTAAATAAAATATGAATTAAATCCAAATTAGTTTGTTTTTTTTTTAAAAGGAATCAGACATAAGTAATTGTTATCAAGACAGGGCTCTTAAAAAAAGTGTCAAGCCACTGTTCTTTAGGGAAGCGTTTTGTCTATACATTGCTCTATAGAAAGATGTCTTGTGTAGAGCCTAAACATCCTTCTCTAGATGTGAGTCTTGTCTAAACAGCCTCCTCTAGGTATGAGTCTTGCCTAGACACCGTTCTTTAGAATAGTTTCATGTATAGACTCCATTTTCAGGAAAACTGTCTTGTCTAGACACTGTTTTCTAGAAAACTATATTCTCTTGACAATGTTCTCCAGGAAAGTATATTGTCTAGGCATTGTTCTTTATAAAAGGGTTTTGTCTATAAACTGCTCTGTAGAAATATATCTTGTGTGGATCGTAAACACTATTCTCTAGGTATGTGTCTTGTCCCGTCTCCTCTAGAAATAAGTCTTTTTTCTAGAACACTGCCTTGTCTAGACACTGTTCTCTAGGAAATTATCTTCTCTAGACAATCTTCTCTATAAAAGGGTCTAGTTTAGCAACTGTTCTCTAGAAAACTGTTCTATAGAGGGATGCCTTGTCTAGAATATAAACCGTTCTTTAGATTTAAGTCTTATCTATAAGTCCGTTTTCTATGAAAGTCTCTAGAAAAATACTTGTTCTCTACCTACGTTTGGGTTAAGTGCGGATTTAGCAGGAAGACTGAGTGGTCATTTGGACCATAGTTTGTCTTTAGGATGTCTTTTAGCGTGCCTTGTTACTTGGGAAATTCACGATTTAACTGGGAAGTCCATTCGTTACTTCTAAGACATTTGATAAGATTTCTTAGTGTCCCATCCTTGAGAAAGTTAAGATCAGGAAACAGGCTGCGATATTGTCTAGCGGGTAAATCACAGTCCATTTCCGTGATGGACTGGATAAGAACATTGATTATAGTCGACCATTAAGATATGTGATTTTTAAGTCGCCCATTCTTTGATCGTTTTTGACGCCTCAGCAGGGGAATATGAAAGTGTTATGTCCCAGGACGATGCGTTAGTTGGGCATTCATTGGCATTTTTCGTTTCTCTCAAGGCCTTCTTGAATCCTAATTAATTTGACAGAATGTCGTGTAAGTTGGAATTGGCAGTGATTGCAATTGAGTAAGAATTTTGACCTTATAACAAACGATGTGTGATCGTTAAGAGATGCAAAACTGTCTATATATGTATATGTTAATGGTCAACATATCGCATCAGCCGTTTCTCGAAGATAGTTTTCGTATTGTCCATTTTGGGACTGAAAGTGAAAGTAATTGAGAAATCATTTTGAACTTATTTGGTATGAGACGGGATTCTTAAGCGGTGCAACACTGAGTACGTAAACGTTGATGGTCAACGTCTTGAAATGTAGTTCTCGGATGTTTCTAGCGGCCGCATCGATGGATCAGCCTGAAAAAGAGTGCAGACATTAGGTAATCTGCTGTAGTTCAAGATGTTAAGCTCATGGGAGAAAACTCCCGAGCTAGTACCTGAAACTGAAGTTTAACCGTCCATGTAAACTGTCGTTTCCAGGGACAGTGTTTATAGTCCAGTTTTATCTTGTTGGCATTCCGATTCAAAAGGTCCTATAACTTGGTGTGTTGAAATTGGTCTTCTTCCTTTTTTCTCTACCTTTAATTTAAGTTAATTTAAAATAAAGTTTTTCTTTTTCTTTCATTTAGAAGTTTTTCCAATTTCCCTCAAGTCCTTTACAACCCTTATTTGCCGCACAACTTCTAAATGTCCTTTTAAATACTTTATTTATATTCTAATACCAACAAAAAAAGAAACAAACACAAACCTGAAATAGAAAATTGATGTATTACTCACTTTGTTATGCATAAATTTTATGGATTACAATCCAAAAAGAAGCCTGTTATGGAAAAAGTTTTCTCAAAACAGGAAAATATGATTGATAAGCCAAACCACATTTCTGTATATAAAATTTCTATTGAAACTACTATATTTAAAAACCGATTAAGCCTTATGCAGCGAGGGAAATACTGGGTGGAAAATTATTAAAAAAACACAATAGATTATTGATTTTATGATAATTGCAAAATAATGAAAATAACAGATGAGAAAATGATGAGAACAAGAAAATATAGGAATATTGAAAAATTAATTTAAAACTGGGTGTTACACCCGTATGATGAATGGATTTTTATAGAAAGGGAACATGTGCAGCTAGGAGTTTTTAATTAATTTTCAAGGATTTGTATAAATTTAAAGACATAGGGGCCCTAATGACTTTAGATTTCTTTTAACTTTTTAGCTTTATGTACAGTTATTTCCCTTTCCTCAAAAGGTTCTGTTTTATTTCCCTCTTGTTTTCTTTTTTTGAGGTTACCCATTGTTATTTTAATTTAAAGTCATTATTATTTACCTTTCCCCTTCCCGCGATTTGTTCTTAAAATCTCAAAAAACAATTAACCGCCAAACAAATAATGGTTTTAAATACAAATTAAAATAAATAATTAAAAAAATTAATTCAAAGAAATGCGACAAAATTTTATTTAATTTTGTTGCCTTGTTGACTTTTTCTTGTGTTTAATATGTATGTTGCCGTTCGTTTTCCTAAGAACCTAGTGTAAACAGTGTGTTGGCAGTTGTTACAATAAAACCGGCAGCAGCAGTCAGCTTCTGTTAATGTTTGAAAATTTCTTACTGCTGATTATTTTGTTAGTTTTGGTTGGGTTGTATGCCCAACTTATTGAGAGAGTTACATGCAAGATAAATATTTATTTAGATTTTGTTATGACAGGAACTGAAATTAGTATGTTTCTTGAATTTTCCGAATAAAATTGTAATAATAGAAAATTTACTTGGAAATTAAAAAATTAAATTAAATAATGTTTACTAAAACCATCCTGGATTATGTAAAGAAAAGGCCAAAAGAAACTGGTTGAAGATTAAAATATTAGGAATAGAAATAGTAAGGAAGATTCCACTTATTTATTACGTTCAGCAATATGAACGTTTCTAGTTTTGTATTTATTATTAGTTGATCGCTATTGTCTCATGATTGGTTAAAAATATAACTCGCGAACTTTGCTTGTGAGAAGGTTGTTCAGTGGAGAGAAGTTTCAAGTCTCTCAAATTGTTTCCTATGTACTTTTGTTGTCGAACAGAGGTCTCTTAAAAGTTGATCTCTTACATCCTTAACATTTAGGACTCGTCCCAACAACAAAATTACAATGGTAAAACCCGAAGTTGTATGTTTGGGGTAAAAAGGACTCTACTCACGAAAATATCTCTTCGATTCTTTTTGCTTACGATACAGTTTTTATATGAAGACATAGTTTTACATCTCTTGAAGTGTAGACGTTTGATGTCTAGAAGAGGTCTCTTTGAGCCAAAAGATTATATCTTATATATTTTTCTCTTACTAATCTTTTCTCAACACAAAATCCATCTAGTAAACCCGAAATTTCTTCAAACCAACCGCGTACTTTCGGTTGGTAGAGGTAGTATAGAAATAGGTCCAAATCAGAAGTACAGCTTTATATAACGGGATTCATCATAGGTGGCGTATATTTTTAACGTAGTTTTTTCTTTGTTGGAGTCACTACTCCATGAAGATTGTTGTCAAACTCAACAAAATCTTGTGAAACCACTTAAGCAGCAATGTCGTAACGATGGAGAGCAACATATTCATATAAATGCTGGAAAATTTGTAATGATCTTCATTTGATAGGGTCCAAAATGAGCCTGCTGAAATCCGATTAAAACATTGCTGAGAACCCGTATCGCATGCAACTGATTCATTTGAAGGGAGCTTAGTCGAAAGACTCCCATATTTGAAGGCGTATTATTCCATCATGACAAAGGTCGATCACATATTTTAATATCTGTTAAAAACTATTTAGAAAGAAGTGTTTAGGAAGTTTTGTTTTACCCTTAGGTCCAGAATTTATCACAGAAAAATCTTTCTGGGATACGCTTCACATTAGAATAGGATATACGAAATTTTCTTAATTCATTATTGGCCTCAAAAGATTGCCGCGGAATTCATATGTGGGAAAGTGGGGACAAGGTTGCGTGTGTTTCTTGTACACCCAATAATAAAATTTTTTTCCTCGATATGTTACAGATTATGTTACAAGGTCTCAAACTTGCAGCATTGGTCGTCTTATATATAACACCACGATTTTGATTTGTAGGAAGTATGGGTAAAACCTATACTATATCAAAAAAAGGACTTTGAAAAGAATGAGAAAAGATCTGAAAAGTTTGTTATTAATAAGAACTTCAAACTTTCTAGAATCCCCTAACCAGAATTCTTCTGGCACGTTTTTCATTTGTTGAGATCTGGTTATATGAAGGTTCTGGAGAAATCCTGGAATATTCATAGAATATTCAAGTCTATAATTTTGATCTTCCGTACGAAAGCCTTTAACTTTTAAAATAAGTTTGTATTTTATTAAGGGAATTATTAAGTTCATGGTCTTCGTGCTTAAAACTTTGTCCAAGCTTTAAAAGGTGAGTTTTGTAATTCCCAATCAGTTTAAAGAAATTCCAAACAAAATGCCGCAATTGCAAATGTCTTTGTGTGTATATGTTCAACTTTTTTCCTTTGTTCATATTTGTATGGTGTATATGTAAAACAGACGAATATTCCAAATGTGGGCTATACGAATGCTTCTAATAGAAAAGGGTTTTAATGGTTTGTCTGTTTATTATTATGTCGTATTTACTTAATGATTTCCTCAACCACAATACTCTTAATGAAAATGAAAAGTTATTTGTTGATATAGTAAAGTAATCCAAAAACTTTAACAAATATTATTTTTAATGTTTCATTATATACATAACTATTGTTTACTATAAATACGTGAAATCCTAATGTATGAGAGGGGAGAGCAGGGGTAGATAATAAAAGACATTAATAGAAAAACGTAAGTACACTTAA